AAACTCCGTGTATGTGATGTGTATTTGCTTAATCTATTACGATCTTGGTTGTGATGTGAATTTACCGAGATCCTTCATGACACTCAGCGGACTACCGGGTTTATATAAGTGAAAGTATGTGCGTGCCAACATGTTGGTAGGGGCAGCCGTACTTGATCTTATATAAATTGGACGGTTCTGTCACATCCATAGCTGTGAGAACAACTTTAATTAGCTCTAGCCTTAATAATGCTCCCATTTATCACATGACTATATACCTACTGCCAAAAACAATTTTGGATAGGCTGGATAAAATCAGAAGGACTTTCTTTTGGCAAGGGGGTGGGACCAAAAAGAAATATAATCTTCTGAAATTGGTAAAAAATTGCAAAAGTAAGAAAAAAGGAGGTTTAGGCATAAAAAATATCAAGAAGATGAATATAAGTCTCCTTGGTAAATGGCGGTGGAAACTTGATACTGAGGATGGTTTGTGGCAACAGATTGTAAAATTTAAATACCTCAAGTCTGATTCAATTAATACTGTGAAACACAAACAATCTGACTCAGCTATCTGGGCTGATCTTTTGAAAGTCAAAGATTTGTATCTCCAGGGTAGGAAAATGATTATAAAAGATGGTAGGAATACATTGTTTTGGAAGGACACCTGGTTATTTGATAAACCACTAAACATTGTATATCCTGACTTATTCAAATTGTGTGAGCAAAAGAATATGACTGTACAACAGGTGAAGCATGACTGCTTGGGTGTAACCTTCACCAGGTGGTTGTTTGATAACTTGCAAAAGGATTGGCATGCAATTCTAGATAAGTTAGGGGATATCACTTTCACCCATGATAGAGATTCTGTTTCTTGGAAATTTGGCTCTAATGGTCGTTTTTCTGTGAAATCAATGTACAATGCTTTAACTTCCAGTGATGCAGGATCATTTCATAAAAAAATCTGGAAGGGTAAGGTTCCAGCAAAGATAAAAAAAAATTCTGTGGCTTATGTTGAACAATGTTGTTTTGACCAAAGATAATATGGTGAAAAGAAAATGGACTGGTGATCCAGCCTGTCATTTCTATACTCATGATGAAAATCTGTCTCACTTGTTTTTCCAATGCAGCACAGCAAAATCTGTGTGGGCAGTTGTAGCTAAGAGCATTGGTGCTGTCAATGTGCCTCGATCATTTGAACAGTGCTGGCGCTGGTGTGATATTTGGTTACCTGCTGGAAAACAGTTTCATACAGTTGGGATAGCAGCTATATGCTGGGCTATTTGGAAAGCTAGGAATAAAGTTTATTTTGAAGGGAAACCTTTAACAAATATTATGTCGATCATATGCCATGCATGTGCCCTCATGAATTTTCATGGAGATCGATAAGGAGGCGTTGGAAGCTGGGGCAAATACCATGTTGAGGATTGCTGCCAAGATGCTGGGCAAAACGCTGGGAAAGGATGGACAGCTGCTACATAAGGATGGAGAGGATGATAACAAGGAAGGCTGAGGGATTCATCGACTTTGCTGTTTGCTTACAGGATGGTGGTGTAACATTTTGGGATGTAATTCTGGACATCTGCTCTCTGTGCTGCCATAAACCTGTATTTTCTGTTATCGGTAGTATGCCCTCTCGGTTGGCTAGTTGGAGTATGATCGTGATAGTTTGTAGTCGTAAGTCTGCTATATTCCCTGTTTCTTTCTTAGTCTGAACTTTCTAAAGAATGTTGTATTTCCGTTAGTGATAATGGAAATGGGGTTACCTCCGGTTCAAAAAAATAAAAAGCTTGCTAATCCAAATGGGGCTAAAAAGCTACTGCATTCTCCTATTCTCCCTTCTCGGATTGATTCCGAAGCCTAGTTCCGATTCCGACACTATCTCCCAATCGGCAAGCACGGCTGCTGGTGCAGCCTTTTTTTTTCCATGGCTGAACCCCAACCAGAGCAGAGCAAGCAGGCCATGTGCCGCCCATGCGGCCATGCCACCTCCTTGCCTGCTACGGTGCTACCAAGGCAAGAGAGCTTTTGATGGCCCAAGAGAGAAAAGCCCCACTTGACATGCCTCAACTGTCGTCAAAGTCCGTTTCGTCGTATTTTTCAATTCTTGTATTTTTTTATAAATTTGTTTCTTGCGAAAAATATCTATCAAATTTAAAACATTGCAAAAGCATACTACTGCCATGAACTGAACTGGAGGGAACTACATACTGCTGGTTGAACTGGCGGAATATTTGTTACCGCCAAATCAATTGGTGGAATTTTCTTTTTCTACCATCTCACCCTAAAGAATCATAACTGTATGAACTTGGATAGAGATAAAATTCATCGCGGAAGTTGTAGACAAAAATGAGATCTACAATTTTATAACTCATGACTTTTTAATTAAAGGTCGTTAAGATACCTAAAAAATTAATATAATGTTCATGTCTATATTTGTAGATAGAACTTTATATTATATTGATTTTTTTGGCACCAAGATGATGGCTTCAAAAGAAAATGTTGTGAACTACAAAATTGTACTTCTCTAAGGCATCTACAGTATTATATAAATGTTGTCCCTATATGAGGTTATATGAAGAAGTTATGCTTTTTCTAAAATATGCTACACTAGCTACATGATAAAATCGAGGCAATTTATTCACACCCTTACATAGCACATCTTCAAAAAAAAATTAACTTTTTTATATAGTCACATACGAAGATAACATCTATATAAGAATTATATTTAATGATGAATCTATGAACTTTTAGTTCACAACATTTTTGTTTGAAGCCATATTGATACCAAAATTATCAATATAATGTTTATCTACAAATATAAATCTGAACATTATAACAATTTTAGTTATCTTAACAAATCTTAAATAAAAAAGTCATAAACTGCAATGTTGTAGATCTCCTTTTTCTCTACTACTTTCATATGAATTTTCCATTGTAAATTTCTTTTTCCTAAAAGTTATGGTTTTTTAAGATGAGCTGACAGAAAAATAAAATTAAGCCTAATGATTTGGCAGTAACAAATATTCCGCGGTTCAGCTGGTGGTATGTAGTTCCGCCATTTTAGTTGGCGGCGGCAGTATGGTCATGCAATTTTCTGATTTAGACGACTATTACAAAGAATGAATTTAGAAAATATAAAATAAAAAAAAAATCATATCTCGTCTCTCCCAATGGAAACCAGTTTTTTAGGTTCCGTCATCTTTTGAAACAATCTGATTTTACTCCCCTGAGCGCATTCCAACGGTTTCAAAATTGAACTTTAGCATGTTGGAGGAGCACAAAACCAGTTTTCCATTGTTCCAAATGATGGAGGAGCACAAAACACCCGTTTTCCATTGGATAATAAGACGATCCGGACTTGGCTATATAACCTTGGGAAGGTCGAATGGACATTCCCCCCAAAAAAAATAGTGAACTTGTCAAGTTGGGCCACAGCACAGAATCTTTCCATGGGCTAAATTTCACTGTTTCTCGCCAAAGGATACCGTGCAAGTTTGTTGTTCGGATGAAAGAGGAAGCGTCAATCTCAAAAAAAGAAAAGAAAAAAAAAGAGGAAGCGTCAATCTCAAAAAAAGAAAGAGGAAGTGTCCCTGGGAGAAAAAAGAAGAAAAAGAAAGAGCAGGTGTGGCCAACAACACATCACAATCAGCAGCAACAGTTAAGCAGTTAAGTACTCCACGAGACGAATTTATTAAGCCTATTTAATATATCATTAGCACATGTTTACGGTAGCACTACGTTGTTAAATCATGGACTAATTAGGCTTAAAAGATTCATCTCATAAATTAGTCGCAAGCTGTGTAATTAATTTCGTAATTAATCTATATTTAATACTCCATGTATATAAACAAACATCTAATAGGAGAGCGACTAGTCTATGAGGAGAAATCCAACGTACTTATGCCGTATGGGATCCCTGCTCTCTGGTGTCTTCAAGCCCAGCCTGCCCAGCGTTGTGTGGACGCGTGTGCCTCCTTCTGCCTGCACCCGTGTCCCAGCGTCGTTCCGAGCAAATGAGCGTGCGACACACAGCGTCCTCCGTTGTTCCTAGGAAACGAGAGTGCGACACCTGCTGCACGCTCATTCGCTTAAATAGTAGCGTTATCTCTAAACGAGGAAAACGACGACTTCTCCTCTCCCTCCTTGGGCTCCTCCGCTCAGGCGCTCAGCGCTCTTCCTCCTGCGAGGTAAGACCGACACGCACTCATCCTACTCTCGCCGGCGTTGACGATCGCGGTAGCTTGGCCTTGACACGATCATCGAAAGCGGCAGGCCATGGAAGAAAAAAAAAATCGCGCCAAACTTGTCAGCCACTCGCCGTGGCAGGGCAGTGCACGCAAGACCCCAGAAAAGAAGAGCAGGATTACACAAAATCCGGCTGCCACGCCTGGTGATTTGCCACATCTACTACGGTTGTACTACTCTCAAGTCTCAACCGCGGGACGAGTGACGACGCAGCGTATAGATCGAGGAGAACACGGAAGGATACCTTCAGCGCGTCGAGGGGCGGTACCTGCACTGTCGCCTTTGTTCGTTTTTTCTCACCGCCGGCGGCCGGTCACGCGGTGCGTGTGTGTTTGTGTATCCACATCTGCCTGCAGTGCAGGTCGTTACCAACTTGAAGAAGACCGCCAACGCGTCAAATGATGAAAATCTTGCAACTATTCAGACCCCGCCCTGCTACTGAGGCTATCATCCAAAAACACGTTTAAGAAACGAAACGAAGCCACGTACACGAGTACCCGGTCAATACGCTTGCGCGTGCACTCCCTCCCTCCCCGGCCCCGAGCCGAACCCACGCCACGCCAACAACGAACCCTCGCTCCTGTGCAGGACTCCACGGCGCAGCATTTTCCTTCCTTCCGTTTGGTTGGGCGCCCAGCTCCAACCAAGGCTACAAATACGCCCGCCCACCACGCCCCCAAAACCATCAAACCGCACGGTGCTTTCAGCGTGCCCCCGACTCCCCTCCCCGCGACCCCCACCCCACGCGCAGTCCCGCACCCCGGCGTCCACCAGCCATGGCGTTCCGGCTGAGCAACAACCTGATCGGGATCCTAAACTTCATCACCTTCCTGCTCTCCATCCCGATCCTGGGCGCGGGCATCTGGCTAGGCCGCCGTGCCGACGGCACCGAGTGCGAGCGGTACCTCTGGGCGGCCCTCATCGCGGTCGGGGCCTTCCTCCTCGTCGTCTCCCTCGCGGGGCTCGTCGGCGCATGCTGCCGCGTCACCTGGCTGCTCTGGGTCTACCTTCTCGCCATGTTCGTCCTCATCGTCGTCCTCTTCTGCTTCACCGTCTTCGCCTTCGTTGTGACGAATAAGGGCGCCGGGGAGGCCGTCTCCGGGAGAGGGTACAAGGAGTACAAGCTCGGGGACTACTCCAACTGGCTGCAGAAGCGGGTCGAGAACACCAAGAACTGGGACAGGATCAGGAGCTGCCTCCAGGACTCCAAGGTCTGTAAGAAACTGCAGGACAAGAACGAGACCATCGCGCAGTTCATGGCTTCCGACCTCTCCCCCATCGAGGTATTTTTTTTTAATCTATATTATTCATTCTCGTCAAAACTCGATCGGTTTCTTTCTTTTAGTAATATACGTGTATATATGCTTAAGCTTAATCTGCTAATGTCAAACACTAAGACGAAAATGTTAGCTTTTCCAACGCAAAAACCTTTATTTTGGGCCGGCTGATGGTTACTTGTACGGTTGTGCATCTTCATCAGACGTGCATAGTTTGAACTGTACATCTAGAAACAGTGCATCAGACTTAGCGTTGATTTTGTCAAAGGATTACTGCTAGTATTTTGAAGTGGTTTCTTCAGCCTCAATGCTCCCAATGCTCTGACCTTTGTATTATTGGAGCAGGAATTTTAGTTCCTAGCACATGCCTGGTGCACTTTCACCGGACGTTTAGGTTGCAGAATCCAAACATTTCACGATACTGCCGGCCACGTTTGTGTTCTGTTTCAAAGACTCATCTGTACTGTACGTCTTCTCCCTGCAGTCTGGCTGCTGCAAGCCCCCCACCAGCTGTGGCTACACCTACGTCGGCGGCACGGACTGGACGGCGGCGGTCCCCCCCAACTCATCGTCGGACCCGGACTGCCAGACCTGGAGCAACTCGGCGCTCTGCTACGGCTGCCAGTCGTGCAAGGCCGGCGTGGTGGCCACGGTCAAGCGGGACTGGAAGCGCGTCGCCGTCGTCTGCATCGTCTTCCTCGTCTTCATCATCATCGTCTACTCCGTCGGCTGCTGCGCCTTCAGGAACAACCGCAGGGACAACGCCTACCGCGGCGGGTGGAAGGGCGGGCACGCTTGATCCACCATCGCTTGGAGTTGGAGCAGAGCTGGGGCTCCTGTCACCATGCACGCTCAGTGCTCTGCTCCCTGTCGTCGTACATGTTCAGTAGGCTTGATGTAGCTGTGTACAGGTGATGGAGATTGTTACTGCGGACTCTTATCGTCTTCCTAGTTATATTATTATCATATTATGATCAGATCAGCGGTAGGTTTTGTATACGGATGCCTTTATTTTACCAGTTACTTTCGTTTAGACTTTTTCCCGAGTGACCTGCACCTTTGATTGTTCAGTTTTTCACTTTCTTTTCGAAACTTCGCCTGATGACGACACGGCACAGCATCACCTAATTCTACAGTTTCACTGCGTCAACAGATTTTCGGTGTGTGACGTGTATTTTCACGTCGGACAGTTTTTTTCCCCCATAACTTCACTCGTCACAGAACATAGATAATGATGACATGGGAGAGAATTAGCGAACATTTTCTTTTAGATAATGGAGGAAATAAACTCTGGACTCTGACATCATTTTCCGAGGATGCATCGGACCAAATTTTCGGTGTGTGACGTTATTTTCTCGTCGGAAAATTATTCCTCCCACATCAAATATTTCGTCACAGAACATAGATAATGATTAAATATGGGAGAGGATTAAGAAATTAATTAGATAATGGACGAAATAATTTGGGAGACATCATCTTAAGGATAATTCGGACCAAATTGAATGTAGCTACTGCTTGAAAACCAGCACATATCACTAATGATAGATTAATTACGCGGAAGAGGATTAGCAAAAAATTAGTGCTCTTTTCAAAAATTAACTCCATCTATCCATAATTGGTTTTGTCGAATTAATTTATATTTAATACCTATCTTATTCCAGCATTAGCAACGGTTTGATGTGATATAAATTTTAGCAATTTTCCACAATGAAGTGATCAAAGAAACACCCCGAAGAATATAGCTTATGTTTGAAAAACCAGCACATCTCACAAGATACATGTATCCTAAAACGCGGAAGAGGATTAGCAAGCTAATTAGTGCTCTTTTCAAGCGCTCTGAGTCAATTTTTAACTCTGTTTACTCTCCATGATATTACCTACTACCTCGAGTTGTTGAGCTAACTGCCATTTCCGGTTCTGAGACCATTGCACCTATCTCTGTCCTCCACACATTAGCACACGGTTTCGCTAGGTTGCTACTGACGCTTCCTGACTTGTAGCACCATTTTCCACAATGAAGTGATCAAAGAAAGGAAGACGAAGGCTTAAGTCTTCAACCATGACGAGCGACATGAAAGCTGTGGTCCTGTGGTGTCCCATGACCATGAGAGGCAAGTCCAGCCTAACGTTCCTCCGGAAATATCCACCTCTTTCCATTTCCACTGTCTTGCTTGTCGTCTTCGGTGAGCGATTCTACCCTGGCGAGTGGGCATGCTTAAAATTAGACTAGGTCCATGGCATCATCTTCCATTACGTTCCTTGTCAGTTGAGAAATATCTAGTAGTGTCAAATACTAGAGACAGTGATCGATTCAATATTAGGTGCTAATAGTGTGTTTGGTCCAAAGAATAAAGTACTTTCACATTTTCTCCGTTTGCAAATTGAATGAATTGATCTATCGTCATCTTATTTCTAATTAGTACTTGTAAAGAAGTTTACTTAATTAAATTTATAGAATAAATTTATGATGCGCTATCTCATCTAGAATGCAATAATTCATCAAACCAAACCCTTCCAAAAGGATGCTAAAAGTTCAATAGATTGTGAGAACACATGGGCTGATGCATCGTACAGCTGCAAATGCGTAAATGTGGTTGTTGTTACTGATTCCAGAAGTAGCGAGACTATTGCTGGTGCGCTTGGAAATATCTAGAGGGGTTGAGACTGATGATTCGATTTTGCAGAAAATGAAGTGAGAGAGCCGGCACTATATTGTTCGATGGGACATTTCACGAGATGAATACTCCATGACCTCAGTTTGGAGGCAACCTTGCCTACAAAGAATAAGTCTTCTTTTTAATGTAACATACTCTTACATAAGCATTGCTAACCGGTAAAATCTGAATTTTCAACCTCAAAATATCACAGTAGTCTATCTTCAACTCTAAAACCGCACGTTACACAACATCTAACTACTCAACCGGATTTTTTTTTTTTTTTAAAAACAACCCCATTCCTCAACCGGATTTTTTTAAAAAAAACCCCCCCCCCCCACACACACACACAACAATTTCGCCCTAATTTTCATCATATGACATTTGTGTGGTGTGGTTTCTACACGATTTTTTTTTTACGAATCATAGTATACATGCAGACACTCATACATATATGCACACACCTTTCCCTTTATGAACACCTATGAAAGACTGTTGAGCTAATAGATCTCGAGACTATAAAGTCACCACAAACATCTCACTATCGATGAGCATGTTACCTACTGTGGAGAGAACAACGTCGTTAAATCCTGAAATAAATCTAGAAATATGCGAACATCCACGCAAGTCAAGTCGATGACTTAAATCGAGTGCGTAGATTCCATGACAAGGTACCCAACTAGTTGAAGTACGCTTAGTTCACTAGTGGTTTGAAGGTGAAGTTTGAAAATAGAAATTTTTTTATAGTTGAATGTTGAAATATAACCTTCACCCTTAACACACGGGTATTTACTCTACCTGCATCTTACCCAATCCACTGTCAGCCCTACAATGGGTGTGTTCCTATAGTGGGCTACTTCCCCAACAATAGCATCCCCACACTTGAAACGTTGGAAGTTTGAACCATTAACAAGTTTGAACATGCAGTTATCATGTTCTCAAATAGAAATTAGAATAACTGAGTATTAGCATCCGTCGTCGTCGGTAGCAATGGTTCTGAAAGATTGGTTCGAGTCTCTACTCTGACAGCAATGCAATCCGCATCTACTGTCTGCTTGGAATCACTGGATTGGAGATCTCTGCCCTTCGTATCATCCGCTTTACCCGACAACACGACGTACAAGCCAACGATGATCGTAACTGCACCTAAGACGCTGCACAAGAGGGGAAAAAATCAGTGATATCACTGCCGATTGAACGGTTGATACTTGTCTAGTGACTATATATAGTAGCGATGCAAGGTGTTCAGACGTTATGCTGCATTATGCAAAGTGGAAGCAAGCATACCTTCCAACATGGAGCTGTTCATGAAGGAAGAGCGTGGATAACATTGCTGTGATCACAGCACTCAGCGGCGTAAAGATGGCGCTGTAGAGGGGTCCTTTGACTGCTATGCACCATGATTGGAGGAAAAAGTTGGCGCCAGAGGCGAACACACCCTACAAAATTTGTTCAATTTCTATCACTCGTTTACTATGCAATGCAATTCAAACCCATGTGTAGATGATGGACCAGCGGTCCAGATGAGCTTACTCCATATAAGATGCAGGGGAACTCCCAGAACGAGGTAAGCTTCCAGATCTCCAGGTAGTTGGGCTCCAGGAAGAGCGCCATCGCCGCGCATTGCAAGGTCGCCAGGAAGCACATCCAGGTCGCCAGAGACAGAGGATCAAGGTACGATTTGCAGACCGGCACCTGAAACCATTCGACGCAGCGCTGCCACCAGTGAGTCACCTCATCCACGGTGATGATGTGTTGAGTGAAAATGAATCTTGCCAGGACGGTCGATGGCGTATTGGCGTCACTGTAATCAGTTGTTTTATACCTGCAAGATGTACCAGATGGAGACGCAGATAGCATTTCCCACGAGGTAGATCCCTCCTCTGACCCAGTCACTGTCACTGGTCGCCGAGAGAAGAGCTGCGCCGAGGAGCCCTGGGCCCTTGAAGAACGCCATGATTGCTGCTCCGGCGAGGCAGATGGCGGTGCCGACGATCTTGGCGACGCTCCTCAAGCTTCTGATATCCACCTTCTCTAGCCTGCGAGGTGCGAGCAGGATGGAAGGCGGGAGTGAGAATTTTGGCTGCTACGGGCGAGGCCTCGGGATGTTCCTTCTTTCATTTCAACAGAGCCAACTGGGCCCACAAAGGAAATAAGCCCATCTGTAAAGAGTCTGTTCTGGCCCAGTAGTCTAAAAACGCGAAATGGTAGTAGGCCCAACTTTCCTCGAAAACAAAACAGAACAGAAAGAAAGGGTACCCGATGACGGCGGCGATGGCGAAGGTGATGCCGGGGGCGAGGTTGGTGGTGGCCCTGGCCATAGACGGCGAAGCCAGGTGGAGGCCCAGAAAGTAGAAGTATTGACCGGTCGCACTGTCCCATATAATTCCCATCGAATCAGAAATCAGAGGTCGATGAAGAACTAGGAGACTTTTCTTTGTGCGCCATTATAAAAGATCGTAATTCTCTTTGTGCACTGGAGAAATCAGTGATCTTGGCGCCACTACTGACTTTTCGGGTTCTAATGCCACTTCCGTCGATTAGATTCAAGCTCTAACGTCGTCAAACTACAGGTGTGAAAAGGCGAAAAATGCCTTAAGTTCAAATATGTTATTAATTTTTTGAGCCTCTTAGCGACAAATGAAAAACTCAAAACTAGAAAGTTGTAGATCTCGTCGAGATCTATAATTTTCATATAAAATTATTTTCATTTAATTCCGCAAAAAAAATATGATGATTTTTCTAAGATATATTAATCATATCAAATCATATTTTTTATGAAATTAAATGAAAATAATTTTTATATGAAAATTATAGATCTCGACGAGATCTACAACTTTCTAGTTTTGAGTTTTTTCATTTGAATACTCAAGTATAAGATGCTCAAAAAAATTAATAACATATTTGAATTTAAGGGCATTTTCGCCTTTTTCATCACATCAGCTTGAATGCTAGAGCCTAAATTGACGGAAGTGGCGTGGAGGACCCGAAAAAGTAGAAAGGGCGCAAGACCGCGAATTTTTTACGATGCGGATTTATATTTTATACGCACATGGACGAAAAAGTCTCAAGAACTAGCTAGGAGTGAGCTCATGCTCATCTTTGCGTACTCACGTGGCTAGGGAGGCCGCGAAGAGGAGCGCGA